AACATTAGACTCAATATTCACAAGCATGTTTTATAAAAGGTTGTTCTTGCTTTTGATTACTTGTTTTGGTTTTATTTATTCAATGTTCAGAAGCATGAACTTGTTATAGACAGAAGATGGAATATTTATTAAGTAATAGGAGACATTGTATGTGATTACTTTTTATTCACTCCTTCCTTCTTTAATCTTCAGAAACCACATTGTCTTTTTTTTTTTTTTTTTTGAAGGCCAGCAATGAAACAGGATTGTTGCAAAAATTATTCCTTTTAGTGCTAGCCCAGTACAAGATGAAGGCTGAGTTGTCTCCATCCAGACATTGTAACTATGCGGCAGAAATCCCCTGAAGAGGGATAAAAAAAAGAGAATAATAATGTGTCTGGAATTTCTTTTTGAAACAAACATCTCACAGCAGATGCCAGTAGGCAGGATTTGGTGGGGAACTCATCTAACTAAAGTGTTTGGAAATGCCTCTCAATACTGTAACTATATTTTGCAAGCTGTGCTGTACTGCACAGCAATCCAGTATGCAGCACATGCCTCCGACGAGTGTGTGCAAAACCCACTGCTTTTTTTTTTTTTTTTTTTTTTTGAAGGCCAGCAATGAAACAGGACTGTTGCAAAAATTATTCCTTTTAGTGCTAGCCCAGTACAAGATGAAGGCTGAGTTGTCTCCATCCAGACATTGTAACTATGCGGCAGAAATCCCCTGAAGAGGGATAAAAAAAAGAGAATAATAATGTGTCTGGAATTTCTTTTTGAAACAAACATCTCACAGCAGATGCCAGTAGGCAGGATTTGGTGGGGAACTCATCTAACTAAAGTGTTTGGAAATGCCTCTCAATACTGTAACTATATTTTGCAAGCTGTGCTGTACTGCACAGCAATCCAGTATGCAGCACATGCCTCCGACGAGTGTGTGCAGTGAACATAGCAAATGACCTGTTGGGTTGCAATGCCATCTGCTGATGTACTAATTTATTGCAGAAACAACAGTTGCAGTACCTTAGTGTCTGACTGCAAACATACAGGGCAGCCTTGTAATTAATCACAAATAAATATGTCTAAAATAGCACCTGGCTGACAGGGTTTTTTTGCTGAGGAACCAGAACTTCTGGTTGGAAAAGGTGCCGGTAGCTTTAGCTGGGAGGGAAGGATCTTCTTGACCTCTCGTATCTTTATAAATCAGGACCAAAGCTCCTACATTCCTGCCTCTTTTTGAAAACCATATTTAGGCTGCTGTATGATTTGGATACTTTTGGAAAATAGACTGGATTGGTTCTTCTGCCCTGATGCCTTGTTGCTGTCCAAGTTTGTAGGCAATTGGTAAAGATTCAGGGCCATGACTCCTCCATTTGGTCAGTAAATATCCCTTGTTCAATGCAAACCAGTCCAAGAGCCTATTGGGGTAGCTGGCCTTACCTCCAGGACTTCCCTGCATCCATGCACAGGGAAACTACATGGAGCACCAGCCCCCAGGTAGGCTTCTCCATCCTGTTCCTTTATGTTCAGTGTTTTGCTTCATATGCAGATGTTCACAGGGAAAAATGTCCCCTGTGGATCTCCAGATGGGTTGTTATCTCTGTGACAAAGGGAGGCACAAACGCAGCACTGTAATGTGTACTTCTGCTGCCTGACACAGGTTAAGTGTGGCAGTGAAGTCAGCAGCACCGGCAGGCAGGTACCTAGGCTTGTAGCCCATGCTGAAGCCCATGCTATAGCTGCAGGGCTGTTGAGTTAGTGGTGCCAGCTGAGTTGAAGTTGATGCAAATGTGCCAACCAAGATTAGAGCTTTTGCTGTGTAACCTCCCACCAAATAGCTAACTCTCTAGTTTGCTCTTAATTGCAAAAGCAACAAAAGGAGGTCTTGAGTCATTTGCTTTTCAGAGAGAGTCATCAGTCAGGCCGGTAATTGATTGGAGATAAACTTGTGGACAAACATTTGCTTTTGTGCTCTGAAAAAAATGGCCATATTTATGCCATTGTAGACTGATTTGTTCTCATGCCAGGATATGCTTCTGTCCTATTCCTACACCAGACTTGGCTATTGACACTCCTTTTTTGTGTCGTTATCGGTGTTACCAGTGATTTGAACTGCTATCACATGAGACTGTGATTTGGATGCTATCACATGGGACTGTGTCTACTTTCTTTTTTGTGCTTCCTTGTTTTTCAGTGCTGTTTTCCATCAGGCCCTTCATGCTCGTCTTCTCCTTTTTAAATCCTTCAAGCTGTTGTGTATCTTCTAGTCCTTCTGAAAGATATATCTGCCCTATAGTGTAGACACACCTGAACTAGCTTTAAGTTGCTCAGGCAGTGCTGGGTAGCAATGCTGCGGAAGCATGGGTCTGAGGGCAGGATTGCTGAGCTCCTTCAGCAGGTTTCGCAGCCTGTGCCGAGTTCTGCGTTGTCAGGGCTAAGCTGCTGGCGGGTCTCAGGTTAGTTGGGAGCCAAGTGCAGACACTGCCATCACTGCGATGCAGCCTTTACTGTGATGTCTATGAAACAGCGAGTAGGCAGGTGAGAAGCTGCCATTTAAACAAAACACCAGAAAAGTTGTCAAACCTACAGATTTTACATAATAAGAAAAAACATGTTACTTTCATTATCTAAGCCCAGGTTGTCATTAAACAGACTACTTAAGTTTTTCCTGATTTTTTCTTCTTATTATTATTCTTCAGTTCTTTAGGTAATAAGGGAAAATAGATACTAGTGATTAAACTGTAGGATATTGCTGCTTCTGGGTTCTTCAGCATCTCTTATCTCTCTGTGTTTGCCATATACATGGAAAAAAAATGTGCCCTGAGGGAATATTCTTGGTACTGCTAAAATAGTGGCAGCCAGTTGCCAACTTGCTGCTTTCAGTACGTAACAACTTTAACATAAGGATATCAGAGGATATGGCAGACATGAACTGGACCTAATTTATTGTAAGAATGGAAGTGCAGTAGTTCTTGCTTTACAACGAAGTGAAGTGAGCCATAGCACAGTTAAAACTTGTTATAGTTCAGGCTGCAAATTTGTGGCAGAATTGTTTATATTGTCCATATATCCTGGCAGGATGAAATCAAAGTTAATGAGCAAATTCCTATAGTGAAACAATTTATGTACCTGTGTATTGTGTTAAATTATTAACTCTTTTACAGGGTTAAGGAGTTAAGGAGGATTCAGATGATCTTGATCAGTTGAAGATCTAGTTTGAGGTTTGAAACAGCCTAAATATACACTTGAATATAGCTGGTTTGTGAAAGTGACTCATCTGAAAGATTCCCTATAATAAAATTATACAGTACTATAAGCTTATTTTTAGTAGTTCATGTCACTGAATTTGAAAGGAAACACTCCAATGCATCACGTTAGGACCTGTGTCTTTGCATGGACAGGACTAACCTAGTTATGCAGTCATTGCGGTTACAGAAAATATTTGATTCTAGGACAATAATTCTGGCTTTTCCTCCAGAGTTCAGAAGCCAAACTAAACCCTGGTGCTTGGTTGTGGTTTTTTTTACTGAATATGTTATGAAATCACACTGCTGAGCCAAGGATACAGGAAAATTTGCAGTTAATTAAATCTTCTGGCATGGTACACACGTCCCATACAGGAGCATTTCAGATGGGAGGAGGTGCAGCCAAAAAAGTGGTGTAAGTGTTGCTTTCAAGCCAGCAGGACTCCCAGCAATGCTTATGCTGTCCTGGGAATTGAAGGGACTTGAAAATAGCTGGAAGTCAAGTTATCCTTTTCCTCATCTGCATGAGCGCAGAGCGGAGCTCTGATGCAGGCAACGACTGGCCCTTTGAGATTAACAGTTTTAGTTCATTATTTGTAACTTGAACATCAGTAAAAATGTAAAGAGATTTGAGAGTGCCAACTTGGCCTGCGTAAAGAAGCTGGGCCACTTGAAAGCATACTTCTTAATGAAACCCTGGCGTATAAAGGCAGTCTTTTAATGACTCTGTTATGAAGGCCAAGACAGAGGTTTTGAGTGGTAGAAAGTTATGGGGAAAAAAGCTAACTGTCGTTTGAAAAAGTGATCTCTTTTGCCATTCAAGCTGCCTAAGCACATACTGTCATCAAAAGCGAAGTTATTAATTAAAAAAAAAAAAAATTGTGCTGCAGCAAAATAGTGTCAGCCAGATGTTAAAACTTGACTTGAGCTGCTGTAGCCTTGTTTCTAAAATTACGTATGTGATTTGATATGTAAGAGTGAGTTCTCCTGAAATCAGCAGGACACTACCAGCTTTCACAGTTTTTTAAAATCTGGCCAAATTTAAATGTGACTTCTGTAACTGGACCCCAGTGCCTAAGTCAAAACTGATCTATTTATGTAGATCCAAAGGGAAGCGCCTTCCCCTCGGTAGTAGTGAGAGCTCATTAACAATCACAACAGTATTTTACCTCATTTTGACTTGAAATGTGACCCTCCTAGAAACAAATAAATGTGCAATTGTAGGCTATGTTGACTTCATTAGCAAGACTGCATAAAACTGCCCAGGATATTGTGTGATATGTATGTCCTAGCAAACAAAAGAATTCTGCATTCAAATCAGTTGAGTTGCACATCTATTTCTGGGGAACAGGCTGTTTGTTTGCTTTTTTTAAATTTTTAACTTCTGCAAATTGTTACACCAGATGGCCTGTTGAGCCAACAATAGATCATCATGTCTCACCACAATGGGATCTCTTTCTGGCTAGCTTGAGTCAAAGCAGTTAGATATCAGTCCTCACCAAGCACATTCCTAACAACTTCACCTTAATTATTTCTTTCCATCTGGTCTGTGGCAGTATAAACAATTTCCTGCCTCCTTGCATAGCATCAGAAATGCACATAAATAAGCAATCTAGTGCTGAAACAATTCTTTTGAATACATTAAATTCCATTTCTGGATGCTAGCAGATTCCACACTTCCATGGGTAACTGAATACTCATACTAATTACGGTAAAGAATTTGATAATTAAGTATTCCTATTTTTAAATTATGCTCTTTGATTTTTATTCCCACAGAGGTCTCAGTCTGCATTCTCCCTGGCTAGTGAAGATATGCCCAGTAAAGGACTAGACCCTGCATCATCTGTGACTGAGGCTCTTTGGAGGCAGCAAAAAGGACAATTCAGGAGACAGAAGGAACGCAAGCTCTCTGCATTACCCAGCTGGAAAAGTGTGGACCGGCTAAATGAAACAAGTAAATAATTCTAGTACGAATATGATTCTTTTTTTGGTTCTCACTCAGATTTGGAATAAATACGACTTAAAGCAAGGACCTTCTCCAGGAAATTTCTGTTGACCTCTGTGCTTGCAGGGGTCACATGTAAAAATGTCTATTTGGTGATGCTGAGTGTCATGATTTCATTGGGCTGTGTCATTGGTTATCTTACCTTTTTTTTCCCCCCCAAGAAAAGATTCAAAATTTGGGCCTTTGGGGAGTTCATTTTGGACTGTTAGGAAACATTAGGCATCTAATTTGGATACATTTCAGAGCTTCTAAGACATGAGAGCCCAAGGGCCTTGCTTTGTCACCTGGTTATCTGTCCTCCAGTTGAAGGAGTTCACAGCTGCCCATAGTCTCCCTTCTGTTGCACACGTTAACTGTTCATGAGGTTACATGGTGAACCAAACAGTGAAATAATTCACATTTAGGATTCCCCCTTGCACCTTTCTTTTCAACTCCAATGAATTCACCAATGCAGTGTTCTGTGCAGCCCTACTAACTGCTGCTTCCACACAAGTTTGAGGAAGCTGTATGAGTAGGAACTTCACAGACCAACAGTTTCCCTAGATCTATGTCCTCTGTCTTTCCGTGCATTAGGTATGGATGTGAATATGGATGGTGAGTAACTTCCTAAGTCAGGCCCATTCCTGATCAACACCCTGGGATAGAATGCAATTCCCTGCTTGCTTCAAGATGACATAAGGACAGGCTGTCATTGAAGAAGATGGTTCCTGCTCTTGGGGGGGTCCCGTTTCCACTGCCTCTCTTGTTCTGGCTGTAGTATTCATGAGGCTACAAGAGTGTAGCACCAGGCAACTGCTGCACGGAAGAGTTGGTTAGTTTTCATCCCCACAGCTGCACAAGGGGAAGGGCTGAACTGCTTACTGCAGCAGCAGCCCCTGGCTCCAGGTGACAGGGAATAGCAAAGCTAACACATCTGCTGCTGTTGTCCTCCCATGACAGAGTCTGCTTGTTCCTGCTTCTTTTCTTGCAACAGCTGTAGAGCCCATCTGACCCCTGTAGCAAATTGGTTCATGAAGCTAAACAAGCAGAAAACTTCTCTTTTGTAGGGTGAATTTACTGGTACTGTAATTCCCACAGCTGGCTCACTAGGCACTGGCAAGCAGAAGCAGCCAACATACGTGTTTGGGTATAGTGGGGACCAGGGATGGGGGCTGCCCATCAATTCAATTCATTTATCTGTAATGCCAGTTGATAACCTGGGAGACTGAAAATTAAACAGTGTCAGCACCCCTCCTCCCCCCAAAAAGAAAGTGATAGTAAAGTAGTACTAAAATCTGACTTAACTAAGTATGCATTACTTTGTGAACTGCTCATTCAGCGCGCCCCCCCCCCGTCAGAAGTGTTGTTTTTCTGGGCATTTTAGTGGAAGGCCTATTTTCAGTAAAGCAGTTAATTGGGTGCTTAAATTTAAGAACGCACTTCAATCCCATTGAATTCAACTGTTGAGTAATTTAGTACTTAACAATTGCTTAACCATAGCAGAATGACAAATTGACCCCGTTCCTTTCAGGTGCTCTACTCAGAGGATTTGTTCTGCTTCTTTCATCTAAGAACCACATTTGTGATGAAATTGTGGTGCCTACTGAGCTTATAGTAAATACCTGATTGTGCTAATTTATGTAAATATGATCTCACCTATGCAGTAGTAAGCGTCTCTGTATTTAGAAGAAATGCAATTCTGTGAGTTATACAGCACTTTTTGACCATTTTTGTGGCTTTTTTTTTCTGTCAGAGTTGTAAAACATACTCTGAAAAAGTGTAAGAATAACAAGAGCAGCAGTGCTTGGGTCAGACAAAACGCTTATTTAGTCTAGGATACAACAGCAGCAGCAACAGTAACCATAAGCAAGAGCCTAGGAAAGATTAGGAGAAAGCAAGTATTTTTCATGCTGCCTCAGAATAGGCTCTGAACCTCCAGAACTTTCAGCATAATGACTACCTCAGCTAGAAGTTTTTCTGTATTTAGTAAACCTCAGTGGATTTCTCTTCCATGTCCATAGCCATCTCTGTTTTATCCCAGATTAATTTCTAGCATCCATAATACCCTTAGGCAAGAAGCTCCACAGGTGTTGTACCTATTGCCTCCCACTTCTTTCTTTTGTTTGTTTTGAACCTTGAATTCACTAGTTTCACTCGATGTCCTCTAGTAGTTAGGTCGGAAGAGATTCCCCCATCTCTTTTAGCATGCATCCTCTCAGTCTTCTCTCCTCCAGACAGCAGAGCTGTCTTACTTAATCATTCCTTGAATGGAAGCCGTTTCAGAACCTGGTGCAATCTTTGTTGCTCTTCTTTGATCCTTTTTCCATCTTTCCTTTTCAAGATGGGGGACCAGAACTGCACACAGAATCAAAGACATTTGCAAAACACAGGATTTATACATGTCTGTGTACTGATGTTCCCTCAGCCTTTCCTAATAATTTGTTTAGAAAAAAGCTTTGGTCCAAGTACTCTCACATTTTAAATAGTCATCACCATATGACTTCAAGTGGTGGCTTCTGATTAAAAGTACAGCAGCATGGCTCACAACATGAGAGAATTCATGTAGCAGCAACACTTGCATTTGTTCATTAGTTTTGTTGAACCCTCCAATTTGTGGCCAGTTGATCGCAAACTGGCAAGTAAAATGAGCCTTTCACACTGTGGTCATGTAGCGATAATTGTTCTTGTTTTGTTTTCATAGGTCCACCTTCTGTTTTTCAAAGCACTGATGGAAACTGGGTAGCTTTGCAGAATGTCACTTTGCCTCGTCCTCGAATGCTCGCCAAACCAAAGAGTCAAGTATTTGAAGCTTTGGAAAATGAATCCAGCATTGTGTCTGCCTATGACGAGATGGGCTCAGACAGTGAGGATGACTATGACTGGAATGTGGCCTTGAACAAGCTGCGTCGGAGACCTCGGCAATTACCAGATGACTTCTATTATACCAATTCCCAGTATGGTACTGAATGGGTTTATGGCAATGATCAGTACCAGGCAGTGACCTCCCCTTCCTCTGGGTTATGCACCAATACTGAGACACTGTTCTCCGATTCTGAAACATCTTCAGTAAACTCTTCCCAGGAAGCTAAAGGACCTAGCAAGCTTCTCTGGTTACAAAGCAGAACTGAAAGTGATATGCCCAGAATGGAAAAAAAACATTTCCATGGAGAACTGGATGTAAATTTCAATCCACAGGCAACCAGCTTGGAGTATTTGGACAGCAGTGAGACTGAGGAAGTCCATTATGATTTAGAAAAGAGATCAAGAAGGTGGAGGAAGAACAAAGCGATTTCTGAAGAATTATGTGAAGGAAAAAATGGCACAAAACCCAACAAGATGAATTTAAGTCAGGTAATTGTGTTTGAGCTTACCGAATGCCATCTCAAAAAGAGCTGGGCAAAACTAATTAAGCTATACTGGCAATAACATGTGAATCGTGAGTGGGAGGTGGAGTGTTCTTGCAAGCTTTATCCTCATGCCTCATAACTGAGAAGCAGCAAAGGTAAAGTGTTACATATACCATGAACAGGCTTTGCCTCTTTCTCAAATATGCCACTTCATCTGATCAATGACATTGTTAATGCTGTAAAATACAGTGCTCTTAAAAAAAAAAAAAAAAAAAAAAGGTCAGGATTTGCCAACAGCTAACAAATGTTGACTAATCACTTGTTCTGTTGCATTGTTGGTTTGTTTTTTAAACTCCTTTATTCTTGGAATAAGAAATAACTCATATGCCTGGGAATCTTCTGTGTGCTATTTGCAAATGTCCTGATAAGGGATAAAGCTAATGAGCAGCAGAAATTCAGAAAGGGCTTTTTTTGAAATATGGTCCAAGAGATGTCTGCTTTTAATTAGTCACTTGATTTATGAGTTTTGGTGTGTTAGGGTAAGTATTTAGAAACTACTTCCATTTAAATAATTTGTCTTTTGATTAAAAAAAAGAAAACCAAAACAAACAGAATGTAACAGCTCAAACTTGGAATAACTGATCATACAACTTGAAGACAGCAAAGCACTCCACAAACGTTTCTTTTAAACGATTGTGGGATAACCAGAAAGCAAAGTAGTCTGTTTGGAGTTTGTCCAGGCCTGGGACTGATGATATGTAAGGAATCCAGTTGTCGCCCAAAACTTTTTTAGCAGTACAAGCACACTTCTAAGTAATTACCCAGCTGGATGAGGAGAATACTGACCCCTTGTCCAGTTCTGTTTCCCATGTCCTACCTGTCTCAAATCCTGTAGCTGCATCATTGCTGCGGTAGAGTAATGCTAAGCCTGAAGCAAGGAGCTAAGTGCTGTCTTCTCCCTATGCCTCTGACTACAAGCAACCTGATCCAGTCTTTAAAGCCATCTGAGCAATTTTAGGATGCCTGGAATTGTTTTTCTTTGCTTATGCTACTAGCCTATATTTCCCATAGAAAGACATCAGTACAGCTGATCATAAGTCAAGATTAGGATTCTAGGATTTCAGCAGATTTTTAATGCTGGGTAAATTATTGTTAATTCTGTATCTGTTCCATGTGCTTTTAGGACACAGATGTGGGTGTTTCATACTGATTCATTTATACTTGTGTCCTCATACATTTATAATCTACAGTTGTTGAAGTGGAGTTTTGTATGATAATGTGCTCTAACAACACATCAGTGGCCATTAATGACTACTTAGAACATCAGGCAGAATTACAGGACTTTCCAGGGACTGCACTGCACAAAGACCATATTTTGTACACAGACTTCTGCATTTCCCTTGTGGCTTTGCATATTTGTGCACGTTCTATGTGTGTCTGTATTCATATTGTGGCTTTCTAGTTAGTACTGCTCTGTGGAGTATAGAAGATCAGAGCTCAGAGGGAAGGTCCTGGAGACATTATAGAATCATAGAATCGTTTAGGTTGGAAAAGACCTTTAAGATCATCAAGTCCAACCATTAACCTAACACTGCCAAGTCCACCACTAAACCATGTCCCTAAGTGCCACGTCTACATGTCTTTTAAATGCCTCCAGGGATGGTGACTCAGCCACTTCCTCGAGCAGCCTGTTCTTATGCTTGATAACCCTTTCAGTGAAGAAATTTTTCCTAATACCCAATCTAAAGCCCCCCCACGTTCGTCCAGTGGAGGTCAGAAAGGCAGGGTGCTTCCAGACATACGTGACGGCATCTTTCAGCAGCTTAGTGTGTGCTTCAAAGTGCAAGCTGGTGCAGAAAATGATTGTTTTTTCCAACTCTCTTGCAAGTTGCTTTGTCTCTTAAGTGCTGCTTATACCTCTCTGTTGTGCTCTAAGTGCAAGGTTTGGGATTCTGACCCGTGCTCCCCTTCATTTTACCCTTTAGGCTAAAAGAGACTGTTCCTGCTCCCTTGCTCCCTCAGCCACAGTGGGGCAGGCAGAGGCACACTGCCTCCAGATCATGCTACTGTTTTCAGAGCAATGAAATTCTCACTAGGGAGTTTATGTATGGGTGGGTTTGCATACATTTAGTTTGTGTGTGGACATACACCCCCCCCTGGTGGCTGATTTGACAGCTGGTGCCCACATTTGGAGAACTGTTACTCCAGCCTCTGGTACACAAGTACTGCTGGGAGCAGGAATGGACTGGCTACTACAATTTATAGCAAGGATGTTGCACAGTTGAACAATTCTAGGAAGCAATTAAAATGATCATGAGCATAAGGAATATGATTTGAGGTATGAAAATAAATTAGCCAGACATCATTTATATTGCTTAGAAAAATGAGATTAAAGGGATGTCAGGGTTTCATACAATCACCAAAGTAATGTATTGATCTTGGTAAAGTGGTTGAGGCTGCAGCAGAGAGTGTCCTACGTGTAAATAGTTTGTACAAAATGATAGTGTAGGTGCACGGAGAACTGCGGACAGCGTAAACTTAAGGAAGCTTCATTGTGGGGTCTTAAATCAGTCATAGATTTTCACGTGCTGAGGTTATGCAGAATTTACAGAAACCATACAAAATGCTCTTCTAAACCATGTTGCATCTAGACATTTGACACACCGAACAACTGACCATATGTAAATTGCAGTGAAGAAACATACTTTTTCCTGATCTTATTGCATTGTAATAATAACCTTATGTTAATGCATTGTAATAATAACATGATAATTTGTTAACCATTATGTTTTGATCAGCAATGTAGAACAGGATTTCAGTTTAGCAATCTAAAAGTTGATTTTTTTTTTTTTTAATTTTCAATTAGTGCAGGTCGTTTCCTTGCTTGCTGCTCTCGGAGACTCACAGTGAAATGAAAACAGGCCCTTTCCTCTCTCCCTGCTCCAAGTCTAGAGAATTGTAAGCAGTAACATTCTGGAACAATTGCAGTCATTTCATAACTCACAACTGAATTTCTATTAAAAATTAGGTATTTTTTAATCAAGATCCAGTACCTAGATTAAGATAATGCTGTGGCAGTTTTTTAAAACTGATTTTAGACTTAACACTGGAATGCTGACTTTGTGACTGAGAAAGAATTCATTGTGTGAAGCCTGGAGTGACTTAAAAAGGGAAACCTGAAAACAGGTATCAAGATGTACTGTGTTTAGGGAGAATTTTTGCCACTTTATGATCGGTAAAAGAACAACCTGCTGCACTGAGTTTCCTGTAGAAATGCTGTAAACATGGTCATGAAGCAAGTACAGAGGGACATAAAACCTGTCCTGATAAAACTGATCACTGTAATAAATTTCTGATAACCTGATTGCTTATGTAACACAGAAGAGTTATATTCCTGGGGAGCCTGAATTGGGAAGTGCAGCCTTGCTTTTAATGATAATTACTTTTAAAATTGTAACTTTTTACAAGAAATTGCCACTCAAACCACCAATCTCTGTCTGCTTTCATTATTATTAATAATATTTGTAATTGAAATTATTATTAGTAATAATATTGATATATTGGCTTTCATTATCTTTTGAGAAGAGGAGATGTTTCTTAGCGTAGCTGCAATTCTTATATTTCTGATGGAAAGTGGAGTGGCTTAATTGGTTCAAGTGAAGGAATTGCCCTCATTATGAGTTTGCTTCTTTGATCAGGAGACCCCACCTGTTAATTACAGCTCTCCTGCCCTGCAGCCAGGTACGGGGTGAGCGCTGTTTGACTGCTGGTCCCCACGGCATGGCATTTGGGATGTGTTTATTGAAAATAGCTGCGCTGAAATTACATGTGCTCTTGCTGAGAAACTGTCACAATTTGTGTCTTCTCCTAAAAACTGTAGTTTCTGATTTTTGGTTTCCTATATGAATGGAGCTTTCTCTCAAGAGTTTATAGTATAACGTGGATTTGGTTCTGGAGCCTCCCAGCCAGTACTTTGCTTGCTTGCTTTATTTTGGGACTTTTTTTTGTTCACTAGGATTACATTGAGTTACCAGCCATTTGCGGGCAAGGATTTGGGCAGTGTGTATGAGGAAAGGTGTATCTCCTAGTTCACTGTCTGCTAAAGGACTTTTGCTTGCACTAGAAACACTTGATTTTCTTTTAGTGAGACTGGGTTTGTGGCTGTGTTAGTCTGCCAGGCCCTCACTGAAGCTCTGTTTTCAGATAAAGGGGTGGCCCTTTATTCTTGTTTGCAGATGTTAGTATTATATGCTGCTGATAGATGCAAATGGGAATTTACACAATGATTTATATGAACACAGATGTCATTAAACTTACCAGATAGAGCCAAAGTGCGAACAGCAAAGAATAATGAAGTTTAAGATATCATCTATTAAATAAATATAGTATCTTTCAATGCATTTATTATTTTTTATTGTTGTCATGGCTTCTAATGCATTTTTTAATCTGTTAATCCATGAAAGAGGTATTATCTCCTCGCAAATAGTTCACTGCCACCATCTGAAAAGCTCAATACACAAACTAAGCAGCCTACCGGTAACAGACGCCACAAAGTGTAGCGTTATAGGATATCATTATCTCTGCGTGTAAGCAGAAACTAACAACTTTTGCAAATGTAAATACTCCACCTGCTCATTGTAAGAAGGTTGGAAAGCAGAAAGGTAGATAATAGACATACCTGAATCCATCTGTAATAAAATCAAGGCGAGTCCTCCCCCAAGAAAGGATGTGTATTCATAACACAAATTTAGCTAACGTGGAATAAAACCCTAGGGATGCCAAGGCAGCTCATGGCTTTCACCTGTGCTGGCAAACGTAGCAAAAAGTTCTTTAGGTTTCCCAGCTAATGAGTTAGGGAAATTATTTTATACCAGTTAAAGCATAAGCTAGAATTGGGAACGTTTCAGTAACAGTGTGACGTGTGGCTAAGGTAACATAGCAGCTTGCTGCTGCCAAAAGAGGAATACCTCCTTCCTGTCTGCCTTCCTGCCTTCCCTCCACCTTCCTCCAGCATGGTCCAATATCTCTCCCTTGTCAGCTCTAGCACACATTTGGACCCCTTTGCCAAGCCTGCACAACTCGTTACAACCGAGTAAATAACAGGAAGGTGCAGGATGACTCTCTTTCAGCAGCACTAGGGTGTTACATTAGCTCACCTTGTTTCATAAAACTGCATCCTCAATTTTTTATCCTGCTGAAGCTGGGCAACCTAGCAATATTGTCCTACCAGGCCTTCCTCCAAAATATATGGGAAGTCAGCTGGAGGGCTCTACAAGATTTCACTGGGCTTTGGATAGAGGCAGTAGAGATCAACCTAAAAGGTGCTGCCACATGTGATCCTAGGAACACTGGTATTTTTTTCAGGATCAAGAGGAGTTGTGATTCTGCTCTTGTCACTATGGATTCTTTAAATTAACTGGTGGTGCTTTCCACAAGGGTATGTGTGTATTGCTACTCTGATATAGCTGCTAAGCAGTTAGAACTGAGCAGTTCTATGTAAGAAGCCCCAGAGGATTCATGCATGTCTTGCTGTACGATGAAGTTTGTTGGTACATCATGGTACAGCAATGAGGTGGAAACATGGGAAAACCTGCCCCTCTGGACTGCCAGCCTCCCTCACTGCTCCACTAGATTTTATACACATATTTGTCAGCTTATTTAAACAAGAATAGCAAACTTTTCTCTTTGCAACCTTGATCTGCTCAAATGTCTGCCTAGAACGGGATTTTCTTCTCTTCCTTGCAGACTCGACCCCAAGGTAAACCATACTCTTCCTGCCTAGACACTGCTAGAGGAAGCCCACACCCCTGGTGCAGAGCTGTCAGAGCTCACTAGCAAGTCTTGTAATCCTAAACCACACGTTTTGGTAGACAAGAGTAGGTTTTTGGAGGGATCTATTAAACAAATGGAGGTAACTCAAGTAAAGAGGGATTCTAGTAATTAGCTTAGACTAGATACCTAACTGTAAATAGCTCAAGTTTAATGAGATGTATCTCCACTAAACTGTATTCTCCTAAAATACAAGTGCACAGTTTAGCCGTGCTTTCTATCCTGTAAATCCCATAAATTATGATTGTTTCTCTCCTGGGTACGAATTGACGAACTGATAGATTCAGCAACAACTTTCAGGGGTTTTTTTTATAGTAGTTTAGCAATATGTGAGTATTTTTCATTAGCAGATTGTTGGACGGGGGTTGTAATGAGCTGTTGAATGACATGCAGGTTATGTCTGAAAAAATTCTCTTGTTACAATTTGAGGAAGAACCATTATGATAAATACAGATTTTTAATTAAAAAGGTGAAATGACACCAGTCTTCTAAATGTATATAAAAGCATATCATAGCATATTATAAAACTAAAGTGGAAACACACTGATTTGAAATCTTGTTTTCAATCTTATTCAGAACAGGTTGGAAGTTCATTTGGCAGAAAAGGCTTTTTATTATACAAAAGCTGATTGTTTTGGAAAAGAATAAATTTCAGCATAAGCCTGTGGTTCCCCTTCTATTGTAGTTAGTCGTGTACTTTCAAATCCTGATTTTCTAAAAGGGCCTTCTACATCCTGAAGGTGAGCTATAAAGCAATAATTTAGTTTTGTAATTGATTCACAGGTAACTACAGACAAAAATTGTCCAGAAAGCTGTCAAAGTGCTAGACACTACAGTACGGTTTACTGTATGAGAGATGAGGACTGACATTACAAACACGATGTGTCAATCCATTAAGAGCAGTTTGGCGGGTAGGGTTTGTGAGGGAGTTGTCAGAGTTAACGTTTCCCGTGAGAACTGGAGGTAATTGATCCATCCATAAATACTGCTTCTGCGGCTGCAGAGAGAGTAGCTGTGCAAAGCAAATCTCCTGTTTATGTATTTCCAAATGAATGGTAGAGAGAACACCGCTTTTAGTTTCTCCAGCAGTGTCTGGTCCTGTCACGGTAGGAGAGCGTAAGGCAAATAGGAATAATTTCCTATCTGAGAATTGCTCCAAATCATCCTTTTAGACCCCACTGCAATGTGCCTACTGCTTCTGGGTCCCAGGCTGAATTCTTTATAGCTTCCTTCCGGGTGGTTTTGTCACGATTATGCTCCATTTCAAAGAATTCATCACTTTTAAAACCACCTAATTCCACCTTACTTTATGCACTTGACTGAAGCACTAAACAAAGTCTCTAATTATTCTAAGGTCTCTCTTAGCAGTCCGCAGGGAGAGAAGAGCATTTCCAGAAGGAAGTTGATGCTATAGGTGGAGCAGGTTGCTCTGGGAGATGGACTGTAGTGGAAATCAGGGGAAATTGGGTCCTAATCAGACAGCACAGATCCAGAAAATAAGTTGGTATGTATCTGGACATTAGTTTTTGGCATAACCATCAGATATTTTCAGATTTCCTGCAAGGGCTGACCAAAAAAAAAAACCAAAACCCTTTCCACATTATTAAATGTTGGGCAGGCACCCTGCTAAACAGACTTGCAAGAGGATTTTGCTTTTCTTCTGTTCAGCCTCCAAAGTAGGAGGTCATGGTCAAGCCTGTAACACCTGCTGTACTTAACTGAGCCTCTGAGTAGTTCCCACCTTTAAGGATCCAAGAGTTAGAAAAGAAGGTGCTCCTGAAGATTGAACTTGTTCCAAGGAGGTTGGCATTTGGAAAATAATCGTCGCTGTAGAGGATCCGTCTATGTAAATAATCACTGGGAAAGCTGAAAGTCTTAAGCACCATCATGTAATAAAAGTGAGATTTTTCAAAACTTGTTTCCAGTAGTCTTTAAGAAAAACAGATAATGCTCAAGACCAGCAGTCAGGGAACTCGAGTGCAGCTTTCAGCTGAAAGCTGGACACAACTGCCAGGTCACAAGTTATTTCATTCCCACACCACTTTCTTTATCTGCACCATGCCTGAGAGTGATGGCAGTGCAGTTCTGCAAATGGGAAATGCCATTTAGGCTTTTACTTCATTAGTTGCATACAGATGATTTTGATAGTTCCTTTTTACATGATATAAAAGTAAGCAGGAATGATAAATGTAATCCAACAGGTGTGAGTTTACTGGCATTCCTCTCTAAAGACATGGTATTTTTTTATTAGCACACCTAGTGTGCTTTCTTTCTAGCTTCCCTGCAGAGTGATCATACCTATACATTTCTAGGAAGCTTCTGTTTTCCTTTCTGTACCTATACAGTAATTATACTGTTCTTCTAATTTCTTTGTAGGATTTCGATGATTTATCAGAAACAGATATAAGCAGTGAGGATCAGCATCATAACATCAAACCTGACCTTATGGAAGAGGAGCTTGAATCCAGGTCATTTCAGCTTGCTGCTAAAATGAGTGACAAGGAAGCATCTTCTGGTGAAGAACAAGAGTCAGAACCTAGAACAGACCCTGAAAACCAAAAGGAGAGTTTGTCCTCAGAGGAAAATAGCGGAAATATTCAGGAAGAGTTAAAGAAGGTAAGCAGTCATTGTAGAGCAGTAGGACTAATATTGTAAAAATTAGAATCCAGAAAGAGAAACTTTTGGTTAGAAAATTAAACATTGTTGCTTAAAAATTCTGAGGTCCTTTACACTGGGTCTGAGCCTGCAACCCTTGTGCAGGTAAAACTTCAATTAAGGTGTGTGTTCCTTCCTGTGAGCCTACAACATCAATTCAGTGCAGTGAACGTAGCTTGTGTAATAAACCTGTGACTGATATTAATGGAATTATGTCAGTTTATACTGACTGAGAATCGGCTTATATGTTTTTATTTAAAAACATATCCAGTTCTCCTTTTTTCCTCCTTGCTAACCAGCTGGTTTAAGTGGTTTTTTCAGTCCTTTTATTTGCTCCTGTGTTTCTAGTATCATGTAGTTCATTCTGGTGTCATAGATTCTTCTTTTGCCTCTCTATTGGAATATTTTGTGCTGCTTTAAAGCTTTCCAACCCTGGTACTCTGTCAGCTAATAGACCTCTGTGAGTAGTAACATATTCTAGTGAAACTGAAATCTAGTGTCAGTTCTGATAATGTATGAGGTCTTCCATTTGTGCCATTTCACCCTTACAATGAGATGTCTGATTTCAGTGTCACTCCACAGGACTTACCACCTGCCCTCTTCCCTGTCTACCTCTGAATTTCTCTTCAGATCATGTGGTGTGCTTGAATTTTGGTGCTGTAGAAGCCCAGTACTGCCCCTTGCCAGTCAAGCACTCTTATCCCTTTAGATCCACTTAGGCTCATTCTTGTTTGCTGTCTGCCTTGACTCACCTCTTGGGGTCTTGTCTGCACAGCAGCTCAGCTTTGACAGGGGGTGTGGACAACTCTCTAAAGGAAATCTATTCTTCATTATTTGAAAGGTGTTTTGTTCAAATGCTATCAAGAACTAACACACCAGGAGGTGGAAGCACGTTCAAGTGACCCAGGTGGACAATCGGACGCAGTCCAAGTGTGCAGGAATGCTGTCAGGAAAGCCAATGCCCACCTGGAGTTGAATCTGGTGAGGGACATGAAGGGAAATAAGAAAGGCTTCTACAGATATATCAGCAGCAAAAGGCAGATGAGTGAAAGCGGGGCTCACTACTGCAGTGACCTGGTGATACAGGACATAGAAAAGGCTAAGTTACACAAGATCGTTTTCACTTCAGTTTAAGGGTAAGATTTGCCCTCAAGAATCTCAGGCCCCTGAGACCTATGGGAAAGTCTGGAGCAGTGAAGATTTACCCTTGGTAGAGGAGGATCAGGTTAGCAAGTATTTCAACAAACGGCACATACACACTTGCATGGCACCTGATGGGGATGTACTCACAAGAGCTGAGGGATCTGGCCCATGTCATTGTGAGGCCACTCTTGTTCATCTTTGAAAGATCATGGTAATCTGAGACATTCAGAGCACTGAATGTTGTTTATTTTGCCTTTAACGAGGCTTTCAGCACTGTCTCACATAACATCCTCACACACAAATTGAGCAAATAAGGACTGGATAAGTAGACAGTGAGGTGGACTGAAAATTGCCTGAATTGCTGGGCTGGAAGGTTTGCTATCAGGGGCTTGAAATCTAGCTGTAGGCCAGTCACTAGTGGTGTACCCCAGTGGTCAATACTGGGACCAGTACTGTTTAACACCTTCACTATTGACAGAGACGATGAGACAGGGTGTACCCTAAATTTGAAGGAGCAGTTGATACATGAGATGGTTCTGTTGTCATTCAGAGGATCTTGACAGGCTGGAGAAATGGGCCGATAGAACCTCATGAAGTTCAACAAAGGGAAATGCAAAGTCCTGCACCTGGGAAGCAATTATCCCATGCACCCATACTGGCTGGAGGCTATTTGGCTGGGAAACAGCCTGGCAGAAAAGGACATAGGGGTCCTGGTGGACACGAAGTTGAACATAAGCCAGCAATATGCACTTGCAGAAAAGAAGGCCACCAGCATCCAACAGACCAAGGGAGGTGATTATTCCCCTCTATTCAATACTGGTGAGGCCACTTCTGGAGTGCTGTGTCCTGTTCTGGGCTCTCCAGTACAAGGGACACATGGACATACTGAAGTGAGTCCAGTGAAGGGCCACAGAGGTGATTAAAAGATTGGGACATCTATCATATGAGGAGAGGCTGAGAGAGCTAGAATTATCTAGCCTACAGAAGAGAAGGCTCGGGGAGGATCTGTTCAATGTGTATAAATACCTGATGGGGGTGGGGTGGGGTGTTTGGGGTGGGAAATAAAGAAGTGGGAATCAGACTTTTCTCACCCGTGCCCAGTGACAGGACAAGAAGCAGTGGGCACAAACTGAAATACAAGAAATTCCATCTAAACATAAAAAGCTTTTTCACTGTGAGGGTGGTCAAAGCTGGAATAGGTTTCCCAGAGAGATTGTAGAGTCTACATCCTTGGAGATAATAAAAATTTGACTGGACACAGCCCTGGGCAAGCTGATCTAGTTGACCCTGCTTTGTGCAGAAGGGTTTGACTAGGCAATCTCCTAAGTTTGCCTTAGAGGTCCTTTCCAAACTTAAGTATTCTGTGACTCTCTGATTCTGAGTTATTTAGCCATGGACTACAAAGCAGTGTAAGTACCTTCATCGTCATGTATGCAAATACCTCCATGATGTACTCACAACCTTTCTAAGGAAATCAGATAAAAGCTTTATCACCAGTGCTTGTTAGCAGCATTCAATTTAGCTTGGTTTTGGTTTACAAAGACAAACAAGCAATATCAAATTATTCAACAGGATATATAGGCTGGCTTAGGGTATAGCATGATGCAATTAAAGTCCAGAATTAAAGGCTGTGAATAGGACCTTCTGAAATGCTCCTATATGGTGAACTCAGCACAGAAAATGGCAGATGTATGTTTTGTGGTGTACTTATTCATCTGCATGCATCTACAAAGTAATATTAGTTGTTTTTTCCTCCTCTATTATTTCTTTAATGTTTGTATGTCAGTTATTTAAAGTAATGCAAAGATTAATATTTTTTTTCCTCAGTAAAATCTCCTTAAGTTTAAAAAAAAATAAGAGACATACCATGTTCAGCAAAAAGGTAATGCTTGGAGTGCCTAGTTCTTTATTGGTTTTGGATTAAAAAAAAGTCTTAGTCATTCATGGTCGCAGTATATATTCTTTCTGTCTATAATAAAGAAACCAAAATATCCCAGTACTATTCATGGTCATGACTTCAGCGGAATTGATAGCGGAACTTGCTCCAGCTGTAGAGAAACAAGCAGGCTGCTTTCATTCTTATTCTTGACAGTTGTCCTTAAAGGTGATTTAAAATCTTCTGACGCGTGCCTTCTCTTTGGAAAGGTGGCTGACCAACATCTTACAAAGAAATACTGAAGATGATAGTGTATAGTACCAGTTGTGGCTATAGTAACCTAAAACACAAAGACCTAGCTAAACTCATAAAACATGCAATAACTTTAAGATGAGTAGATGGCATGTCTCAATGGAAACAAGCATAGAAAATGTATTTTCAGGGAACCAGTAATTTTAGATGCCTTAAAAGCCAGATGCCCCAATATGCTGTCTCTAAGAAGCCTGATTTTTGGAGAATGCATGTGTAGGGAATTACAGGTCTTTCAGACTGGCACTTAACATGCTCGGCCAGAGACCCAGACTTCTGACCTGGGCATCAAGTTTCAAATTAGGTATACCGAAGCACTAATTCTGGGCCATTGAAGTGAGAACTCAAGTGCCTACAATCTGCTTTCAGCTCCTGAACACAAATTAAATACTGTGTTTTAGCCATCTTGCTTATATTTTAGCCATGTTGCTTGTCTTTGTTAGCCGTTAGTCTTCTATTCTCAAGCTTATTCTGGAACACATTAGCAACCTTAAATCACAGGGAATTTCTAGTTACAGTACACCTGACTGTAGAATAAGATTTCAAAAAACATGTATTGTTTATTGAATCACTGGAAATTAAGTACCTGGTGCTCATGAAAATCTGACTTTCACATGTCTGCACCTTTCAAAATCTGGACTTCGGTTTTTAATGCAAGCTGGGAATCTCATATAATCACACGTTGAGCTGATGCTTTAAAGAGGGTATTTAGTATATTCAGATCTGTAGCAATGGCAAGAATTGGCACGTCTTGAGTGGGGATTTAGCTGAAGTTGGGCATTTACGTGCTCTCAGTTCTCACCTCAAGCTAAGCTCTGAAGTTGTATGTCTGCCTTTAAGATACAAGTTTGAAAATGCTGACCTTTGAGTTAATTATTTAGTTCATGTGGGATACTGGAGGGTATAGGTGGGTATTAATTAACGCAGTTAATTTTATGCCTTAGACTTAAATCCTCTTAGACCTTCAGCACAATCATTTTCAACGTTTCTAAGTTTGTGATTGCCTAAAATGGTCTTGTGGAGATTCACAGCTCTCTAATACAAACATAATCCTACAGCAGGCTTGTTTTTATAGACAACATTTTGTGGTTATTAAGCTACAGATGTAGTTCATGGTCTTTCGGGGATATGCAGACCCCTGAAAAGCCTGCTCATCTCAGTAGTGCAATGAAAGGCCATAGAATCCTCTATGCTTAGGCTAGAGTTAGCCTTCAGCCCCTCTAGCCATCAGGTGTGAACAAACCAAAAATCACATTGTGCAACTCTTGTGTTAGTGAAGCATCTTGTACTAGCACAGTGACTGGTACAGCTCTTTCTGCCTTGCTCTTTTTTTTTTTTTTTTTTGCTTTACCCTCCCAAACCCTAATCAAATACCTAAAGAAAAAAGCAAAATATAAATCCCCTTGGGAGTATGTTAATGATACTGATCCTGAGAGTGGCAAGCATGATAAATGGGTTGCATTTAGCTCTTGCTCTCCTCTATCCTCTCTCCTTCTCTTTTAATGCTTTCATGAATATGAATAGGCCGGGTCTATATTTCATGGTATACCGCAGAATTACATTCTAGAAGGCAATTTCAGCAGCGCCTAATGAGACTGCATTTTGAATGCAGTCTATCACTGTGACCACTTTA